CCCTGACAGCTGTATTCTCTGCACAACAAGTCATCATATTAGTACTGTTATAAACATTATGTGATTAACATTTCAATAAAACCCTATGATAACACACTACTTAGATACTTGGATGAAAATGAACATTTTATAGTGACAGAAAACTCAAACAATTATATTAATTAATCATAACAATGTGGAAAATCACATTTCTCAGTCAAACCTCTGCGTCCATGCTTCTCTGCTCCATAAATCTGCAGCCTCTGAAGTACAAGTATTAATGTGTACACAGTGTTCATCAGTGCTGACATTGGCTTACGCTAAAATGTTTATTTCTTTTGACCCAAATAGTTTATTTGGTAAATGTAACACTGAGCGCAGACACTAAAACAGTTGCTATAGAGAGACACAGTTCAGAGGATAACAAAGATTCTTTTTTGGTCCCATCAGGCACATCAGGCAGCCCAAAGTGAATAATCCCTGGTGGAAAATACATTCGGTCAATGCTGTAATCAAATACAAAATTTACGTTGCAGTGCACTTTTCTTTTTACCATTTAATTATTCAATTCCACTACAGTATTTGTTTCTACTCCATCACGTTCGTTTAACTAGTTTGCAGATTAAGATTTTAACCTCCACATTATAGGAGGATCTAATAATATAATACATTGTTTAAAATTAATCTAAAATCATTATAATTGATTTAACTTGAAGCAGTTACAACAGTAAGAAAAAAACAATTTTTCATCACTTCATCAGTTATAATTAGAAATAATTATATAATTTAAATAATTTTACGACAATCATACAAGTATTTTTATGGATTGAGTGCTTCTACTTTAATTGCATTTTGCCGATAATACATATAATCATAATACTTGTGCTTCAGGAAATAATTTTCCAATATTTTGCCCAACTTGGGAAAAAGGCAAAACATTTTGTTCAAGACCGGCATTCTGATTAGTGGTCGACCCTCTCTACCTCCTGAGCCACAGTCACCCAGTGTAATGAAGTTACTTTTACCCAATTAAAGGACTTGAATCCCATCTTTCTGTGCACCCACATACATGACCACAGCTTGGTAATAGACTGACTGCAGCACAGATCCAACATGAACATGAATGTGATGATGTGACAGAAAACAAAACAACTTCACTGCAACTTTTAATTCCTTTATACAAATTTGGTAAAAAACTGTAAAATGAAATGTCCCCTTTCACCCCAGTGCTCTGGCAGAAGGTGTCAGCAGCAGATCACCTGTTCCCACGTTACGCCTGCTTTTCATATCCTTCATCGGGACAAGGATTCTAATATATTAATTTCAAGCTAAGACTTAAGGAGGTCCAGGCTCTTGGAACACAGACAAATTGACCTGAAGTTATCTAGTGTTGGCGAGCTGTAGGAAATCCAGCCCAGATGTGAGGGACACTTGGTTGTTTCATTTTTAAGAATCACTATCGGTCATTCGACCAATGAAAAACATTCTCACATATGGTAAAGGAATCTATCAGTTTCAGAAGAATTAAGGAGTTGGCAAAGGAGATTTAAAGTGAATATTAATATGCGTGTGTGTGTGTATGATAGACTCAACAGAGAGTAGGAGTGGTTCTTTAATTTTAAGCAGATACACACTGATTAAGTGGGGTGTTACCAAAGGCAGGCGCTGCACCATGACGACAGTCGCTGGGTTCACTCAGTTGGAAACGGGACACTTATGCACATAACAGACGTGAGCAACGACAGCGGCTCCTCTGCCCAAAGTGGATGGAGATGAAGCGTCCTGCCAGGAAGCCCAGGCAGCGAAACTAGACTGATGGTCAGAAGTTTATTCTAGTCTGTGTGGAAAAAAGTACAGTGTTTACACGATCCGGGACAGAGAGCAGGCCAAGTCAGTACACCGGGGGAATTCAAAACACTGTATCCCAAGAGGGCACCATGGGGAGAAAAAAACCTGCTGTCCATAAATGGGTAAAGCCAGGAGAGAGGGCATTATGGGGAATAAAAGAGCTCCTGACTGTACTCTGCAGCTGAGTCACAGGATTTATTTAGATTGGCTAATATCAAATGAATAAACCCTTCTAACCTTTATCATCCATATTCTAACCTCTAATCATTTTCATTCTTCAGGCACCAGGTTAACTCGCTGTGGCTGAGCAGCGACTGTCTGAGATTTGGTTGCGCTGTTAAAGACGTGGCTCGATGATAATAAATCAACATGACTCAGTGTTCTGACAGAACGCTCTTCAGAGTGTAAACATTTCTCTCACACTATTTCCCAGTGTAAGTGTTGTAGTATTGAAGTGACTGCAGAAGGTGAAAGGATTCACTATTCCCGGCTTTTACCCTGTCGTCAAATCTCAGATGAGCTCATGGCTGCATTAGCATAGAGGAAGGAGGAAGAGTCCAACTTGAAATGTCAAAAAAGTTTGGATAGATAGCTATTAGTATGTGTATTCATTCACAAGAGCTGAGTGTAGTCCACCAAGCTTTAGTTGTAATATACTAAAGTTTTTTTTTCTAAAGCAAAAAACTGAACTGAAATTCAAACTTGAACTTTTCCAGAAACGGTGGCATTCAGAGTTGTTAAGCTCTTTTTTCTCCTTATTGAACCTTTTCTCTTCCGCCTTGACTCGTTTTTCATTTCATATGTGATGTTTCCCACAGTCCTCTCACTAAACAACTTGATTCCTTTGTCATTATTAAAGTCCAGCTGAGAGATCTCTCCAGTTTTGTGCAGTCGGAGTAAATGTCCAGTGAAACAGAAACACAGGGGTCACGTTTCAACTGACGCCTCCGACAACTAGTGCAGTTTCAGTCTGCATAACTTTCTTAGACTCGTATGAGGTCACAGAGATGATGATCTTTGACCACTGAAATTTAATAAATTCATCTTTGAATTCAACTGGTCACAATTTGAAGAAATCTCCTAAAGGCAGACTTATGAGATCATGTTCAAGAGGCCCAAAAAAACAGGTTTTATGAGTATGAACATATTTACCACATTTGAAATAATTATTTTGGGTGTTCATGTGGCAAAAGAGTATTTTGTAAGGTCATAGAGATCTTGACCTTTGACCTCCGAACTCAATCCTTGAGTCCAAGCATGGGTGATATTTCACATACACAAGAACATGAGGTCACTGTGAACTTGGCCGATGACTTTTGACCTCAGTAATCTAATCTGTTCATCTGTGAATCCTTGAAAATTCCCTCAAGCAATCTTGAGCTATCATGTTCACAAGAAGGAGATTAATGGACGTACGGAGGGATAGACAACTTGAAAACATAATGCCTCTGGCCACTGGCTATGGCTAGGACAGAGGTATAATAGAACTGAAGTGGCCTAACAAGCACCAAAAGTGCACAAATTTCTGAAACATGAAACACAGACATCACATACTATCACTCATCTCTCATATCCTGTGGTGCGACTGACATTTAAATCCTGGATATGAAAAACTGAAGCCTCATCATGTAAACTCCCTGCTAAGCAGATGATTTATTTGGTCCATGTACCGTAAATATGCAGACTTCCAAGATTGGGGCTTTTAGCTTAGAATGACTAAGCTAAAACCTTCATAGACCTCACTGTCTGTACACAGTGAGTTTGGCTTCTACAAAAACAGATTGCCTCACTGATTCTACATGACTCAAGGGTTAGCACTGTCCGAACAGAGTCAATAGAACATGAGAAATGTCTCTACCCTGGAACTACATTTAAATCAAACAGCCTTCACCGATAAATCTGACATTCCTGGTTTCCATTAACTCAGAAGCTGAACTGAACCACACATCTTACATTAAATTGAAATACGTCCTTACAAATCTGAGGAACAAATTCTTGGCACTGGCACCGCAGCCTTTGTATTAAATGCATAGTTTGACCTGTCGCATCTGTCCTTCACATGTTTATAGACCACTGACAGGAAGCCTGAGGAGCGCCTGCCAAGGCAACTGTGGCACACATGCATATTCATGGCCATAATATACTTATCATTACATCACAGAGGGAGTATGTATTGCAAATGGTCTTCATTAAAGGATGTGATTAGAATGAGGATGAATTGAAATGTAACTAGAATAACATGGAGAGTATAAACTGTACATCCACCAAGCTGTATAAAAACATATTTAATTCTGATAGATCCATGAATTAATCTCTGGGGGGGAAAAAAACATAAAAATGTCCTGGATGTGCACTCAAATGTGAGGTTCTTTCTGGGCCGATCCTTGCAACAAATTCCATGGCAATCTGTTCAGTTGTTTTTGTGTAATCCTGCTGACAAACAATCACAAACAAGCTAGAATGGCCTTTAGTAGTGTGCATATCTTTTCCCAGGCCTGACAGTCCCCTTAAATTCAATAAAGCCCCACCAAATTGTACAGACTCATAAATATCAGTCCCTTAAATGTTTTTTTTAATTATTCCCTGGGAAAGTGTTAAAAAATGGAAAAAACAACCTATCCCACAATGTTAAGGAAAGTGAAAACAATTCCTGGATCAGTCCTTTTCTCTGGATCTGCACCAAAATCCAATTTGCCTGACCCATTCAGCATCCTTCTGCCAAGTTTTGTGCCAATCTGTCCAGTAGATTCTGCATAATCCTGCTGACATACAAACAAACTGACAGCAGTGAAAACATAACCTCCTGAGCAGAGGTAATAATAGAAGTAGAATAAGACATATGCTTTCTAATGTTTTCACCATTGTGCTTTTTCATGATTGATTTCTAGCTGTCATGACAAACTGCATCATATCTGACCCTCCCCTCATGTGTCACACCTATCATCCATTATCTCTCAGAGATACCATCACTCTCACCTGTGTTCCTCTCAGGCGTCTCACTCCTCGTGTCTCTCAGGGATTCACGTTCCAGTGAACAGCTCCATCAGTACTGCCTTCCTCCTCTTCTCCCTCCCACCTCACTCCCTCCTCTCACTGTCACTGTGCCTCACAAACTGAGGTGGATCTTTTTTACGCTCTCTCCCTCCTCTCCCTTTAGTCTTTACTCTCGGGACGTGATGAGGTTAACAGCGCTGTGCATCTATGGGACCCTGCTGGCCTTGTCAAGCCTCTCCCGGACCACAGGGGTCTCTGGTGACGGAGACATCCTGGGAGATAGGGGATATGGGCCCTGTGCTGCAACTCTTGAGCTTGAAGGGCCATGCAGACCGGGACAGGAGGAGGACACATGCCCCTACCTCTTCACTCTGCCACCGCTGACCGTTCATCTGCCAAAGCAGCTCACAGAGCTGGAGAAGATCACGAAGGATCTGCAGAAGCTGAAGGACCATGTGGATCAGCTGAGGAAGATGTGCGCTGATTGTACAGTAAGACAAACTGAGAGAGTGTGCAGAACACAAAGTGAAAGAGAGCATGTGAAGACAAATGAGGGAACAGATAAACAGGGGGATGAGAGGAAGTGGGTGAATGAGAGAAAAGATTTAAGAGAGGACGGGGTTAAAGTGGAAAAGACGATGGATGTGGATGGTGACACTGACTCCAAAGAAAGAACAGTTTTAGAAGAGAGAGGGAGAAAGAAATGGGAAGCAGAGGGAGAGAGCGGTGAAAGGGTCGTAAAAGAAAATGAGAAAACAGAAACCTTAAAAGAAGTGCCATTAAAAGATGGAAAAACTCAAACAGAGGGGGGAAAGGTAACAGACAAATTGAGGCAGCAAAAGGTGCCAACTTCTGGTGGAGAGGGGAGAACAGAGGGCATGACGAGAGAAGAAAATAAGGAGATTGAAAAAGTTACAGAAAAAGACAGAAAGGGGGATTTAAAGGGAGATCAAGTAGATAAGCAGCAGAGTGGGAAAGAAGGAAAGATGACGAGTGATAACAAACACGAGGAGAAAACAGAAGAAAGTGACAAATACTTGAGGCAAGATGAAACAAAGGAAACAGACAAAAACACCCAAACTGTGGAAAACATGGGCAGTGATGGAATAAAGATGTCTGAGGATCATGATGAGCATACAAATAAGGAGCGAGAGCAACGTTGGGAGGACAGAAAAAAGAAAAGGGACAGGGGACTAAGAGTGGAGCAAAATAACAAGAAACCAAAACAGACTGAAATCATTGGGCGCTCAGCAACACAGAGGACTATAAAAGAGGGGGAGGAGGAGGAGGAAGGGGAGATGGGCACAGAGATCAAACCCGAGGCAGAAGAAATGGTCCAGACTGTACAGAGAGACAGCGATGAAGATTTAACGTCCAACAGAACGAGTGAAAGGACAGACTTTGTTTCAGTCAGCCAGACTCCATTAGTTCCCATTAGTCCAACACATGACTCGGTGGACTCAAACAAAGCTACCACCTCAACGTCATCTCCTCCCCCTCGTCTTCTGTCCAGTTCACGATTGATCCCAGACATGAGATGGACAATGACCAAAGCTGCTCATGGACTTACAACCCAAAGCACAGACAGTGATGTGACTGGCTTCTCTGAGCACCCACATCCTGATGAAGAGGCAGATGTGAGGACCACAAGTACGCCAACAACAATAACAATAAGCACACTGGGAGTCCCCGGACAACAGATAACCAGCAGCAGTACAAGGTTCACATCAACAACTAGTCCGAGACCCAGGGCAAGCTTCCAGAGTCGATCTATGTCCACCGCAGCTACAACCACCTCAACTCCCCGTCAGAATTTATACACAACTACGGGAGGAGAAGACCACAGCCCGTGGACAGTAAAGAAGAACGCCAGCTCCAACACTAACCCTGGAGTGAAACCTCAACCAAAGCCTGGTGAAAAGCATAAACCAGGAATTAAGCCTGAAGCAGATCGTAAGCTAAAAAATCCTAAGAATGACCATAAACCTGATGGAGCACCTTCACCAGACAAAAATATTAAGGACGACCAAAAGCAGAGGCCTTCACTTCAAAAACCCACAGCCAAGCAGAAACCCAAACCTCCAAAAGTCCAGATTAAAAAACCTGACCAGAGAGCTCCACTTCAATATGTGAAAAACAATCCTGCGCCTAAACATGATCGAGACCTCACAACGGATCAAAACAAGTTAGTACCTCCTGTCCAGAGACCTACATCCCATCAAAGACTTGTATCAATAAATGCAACTGGTACTGACAAAGATCTTTTGAATGATCGACTGAACTCGAAACCAGAGAAAAAGCCAAATCGTCCTCTAGACAAACCAGAGCCAAAGCAGAAACCTGAGAAAAAAACGAAAAGTAAAGAAAAAGCAGAATCTGATTTATCCTCTAAATCAAACCAACATTTCACACCTGAACCTAAAAAAGCTGAAACAATTCAGCTCAAGTCTGAAGAACCTATCCAAGAGTCTGTGACAGAACTAATGAGAAAATCCGATGAAAATCTGTCTCCTGAGTCTAAATCTAACCAAGACTCAACACCTGGACAAAACATTTCACATGATCGTATTAAAATACCTTCTGATAAAAAGCCTAAACCCGGCAAGAAAACCCCTGTGATTAAACAAAACCCTAAACCTGGCCACATCCCTAAACTTTACCCAAAACATCAAGAACTTGGCAAAAATACTAAACCCAGTGTGAAGCCTAAACTTGGCCAGGTACCTCAAACAAATCCGGGGCCTAAAAAACCTGTACCTGGCCAACTGCCTGATCTTAAACCAGAATCTGTACCTGATGAAATCCCTGCAACAGAATCCAACATAACATCCAAACTAAGGCCTCCCACCGCACCCGTGCCCACACTGAAGCCAGGAGCAACATCTGTTCAAAGGACAAAACCAGCAGTGCAACTAAAATCGAGCCCAAAGACCAAAACAGATTCAGCTCCTTACATCATTCGCGTGACGACTGTGGATGGCATCCAAAATTCTGAAATTCACATGCCACCTACATCTGGTGCTATAAAACATATTGCTGAGGCGACTCATTCCCCGCAAGACATAGAGTTCAGCCCCAGCACAAAAAAAACCATCACTCCGGGTCCAATGACCTCTAACAGCCCTGAGCCTGTACCCTTCCCTCTGCTTCACGCTCTCCCTGAAAGCTTCACGGTGAGCCCAGGCAACAGGGTTACGTCTGATCTGAGGCCACAAACAGCTGGACAGCCATCATCGATCCCAATGACAACAAGACCAAACAAAATCGTCCACGGGATCCTCCCAATTGTTATCGCTAGCACCAGTCCAGGATCCACAAGGCCAAACCCGGCTCATAATGCTGACTCCAGCTTACAAACTACGATACGTCAAGATGTGGGGGAAACGTCTCCAAGACAAAATCCACATAAAAAAATGATCACCACTCCGACCACTTCCCCCAGAGCCCACACTACCTCCACACTTAGCCCTGACTTCAGGTCAACAACCCCTCTCACCTCTGGCCCCGAGGCCCCGGCGGCTGAGTCGTCCACTCCCAGTGCACTAGAGCTGCGTGTAAAAATCAACCAGGTGGTCGCTCTCCCCAGTAGCGTGCGTCCAAAAGTGCATCCTGAGGACAACCAGGGAGGCAAACTACCAACGTGGATGTCATCTAAAGGCAAGTGATATTATTTTAGACTGTCACAACATGCTTGCTCATTTTATGTGCCTAAAAGACAGTTTGGAACACCATGAGCAATATTGTAATAATGCTTTATTTATATTCTCCCACAAAAGACATCAAAAATTTTAGCTTGAAATATGAAATGGAGAAGACATAAACTATTTCACAATGACATACTTTAAGATATACAGCTTATATCCCTAATGTCTCCTGTCTTCTTGCAACAATACATCCAAAACTAGAATGGCAGTGAGTAGAGTTCATACCTCCACCAAGGCCCAGCAGTCCCCTGATGAAACCGTATTAAAATAGATTTGGATCTGCACCAATTGACGCACATTCATAAACATCAGTCTCCTTAACATTTTTTTCATCAAGATCTGTGAAGTCTTCTCTTATGAATCAGTGACAATGTTGGAGAACATCATATCTCACAATGTGAAAAAAAGATTCCTGGATCCGCCCCCTGATCCAGATCCACACAAGAAATGTAATCATTTCTTTCCTACTCACACCACATCAGGTTCCACCAAGTTCCACAGTAATCTGTCCAGCAGTTTTTTGTGTGATCCTGCAAACAGACAAACAAACAAACAAATGCAGATGAAAACATAAACTCCTTGGTGGAGATAATAATACAGCCAGAGGAACTGTTGTGCATTAGCAGTTGAGTGCCTTATTATTCTTTCTCTTGTTAAAAAAGTAAATTGGTTTTAGCTGACCTGACAGGATTTTATTAAGAGGCCCACATGGCAAATCCTAATGATCCTCACATAAAAGAAGAGCATTTAACTGTATGGTTTGTGAGATCATCTTTGTGTCATACATCATGGCTTTTTGTCAAGTAGGAATTTGCATATGTGTGCACAATGTGTGTGGTGATAAGAGATAAAACCACAAGTATGCGCAGGCTAACGTGGTAAAAACATCCTGCAGAGCTGCGTGGGGAACAGTCAGTGATACATTTGGCTTCAAATCTGTCCTATGATTCTTGAGTTTAACAGCGAGACACAGGTGCAGATCAGGAGGATTATCACATCTGCCCCCCTCCTTCTTTACACACTTTATACATCATAACATTAAAACATGGAACACTCGGTTTATGTTTGTTATTCTATCATAGCAACTTCAGGAAAGAGGTACAGGAAAGATTAGTTATTGTTTAAAAGGAGGTATTAGTATGCAGCCCATTTCTGCCAATGTAAGAAGAAAAAGATGCTAAATTAAAAGATATTATGTAGTTGTTTAAGATATGAAGTCAGTATTTTGAGATACTAAGTTATCATATTGAGACATTAAGTTATTATTATGAGTTAATTGGTCATACATTTGAGATATGAAGTCATTATTTTAAGATATTAAGAAGTTATGATGAAATATTTAGACCTTATTTTGAGATATTGAGTCTTTTTCATGTGACTTTAAGTCATTATTTTCAAATATTGATTTATTATTCAGAGGTATAGTCATAACTGTGATATATCTCATTGTAATGACTCTCAGGATTGTTTTAAAACACAGGGGCAGAGTTTCCATTCCTCAGAAACACTGAACTATGATGAAGTGGTTTCTGCTCTGACCTGTTGACCTTGTGTGACCTCAGCTAACATGTCTTCACCTGCAAGATACGAACCGAGGCCTAAAAGATAGAAGAAGGATTTGTTTTTGAAATGTTTTGAGAGAAAGGTTTTTATTATTCTCTCTTCCAATCTTCCTCATCAGCAGTGAGGAGAGACTGCTCGGACCACCTGCTGAGAGGGGAGACCAGCAGCGGGGTGTACCTGGTGACCCCTGACATCCGCAGCCGGAGCTTCTCAGTCCTTTGTGACATGGAGCTGGAGGGCGGAGGATGGACCCTCCTGCAGCGCAGACACGACGGCAGTGTCAGCTTTAACCGCACCTGGGCCGAGTACCGCTCCGGTTTCGGGGAGCTGCACGGCGGGGAGTTCTGGCTGGGGAACAACATGATCCACCTGCTGACCCGGGACAGGGACATGGTGCTGCGAGTGGAGCTGGAGGACTTCGACGGGGTGACGGAGCATGCGGAGTACGCGCAGTTCAGGGTGGCCAGCGAGAGGCTGCGATACCGGCTGACGGTGGGAGGCTACTCCGGCACTGCAGGGGACGCTCTCCGCTTCAGCAGGAGCTACGATCACAACCACCGGCCATTCACAACCCCAGACCGGGACAATGACCGATACCAGTCTGGGAACTGCGGGGCCTACTACAGCTCCGGCTGGTGGTTTGACGCCTGCATGGCTGCCAACCTGAACGGGAGGTACTATGTGGGGAAGTACCGGGGAGTCAGGGACGGGATCTTCTGGGGCACATGGCCCAACATCTCCACAGAGTATTTCCCCACTAGTGACAGGGGGTCCTTTAAAAGTGTCCGGATGATGACCCGACCTAAAGGCTTCACACCATGACTCTGCTTTTATATCACATATAATAATACAAATAATGATAATAAAACTCATCACACTCTCCTCACTGTTAATGTGCACTATCAACACAACTCTGCCGCCTGGTGGTGATTAAACGGAGGATGTATATATTTACAAAGGTTATAATCACAAGTACATCGTGTGTGTTTTTTATGTAATGTTGAAAATAACTTGATAGAGATTCATTTGTTCCATGACGAGAGAGCGATCCTCTTATTTTTCTATGAAGATGTGTGAATCTGACGGGTATGAGGCTACAGAGACTGATATTTTTACTGTTACAATACTGGAAGGCCAGTTGATGGTTGAATGAAGCTGTTTGAGATGTTTTATAATGAAGTTTGTTTTATGAAGATGAATAAAAAGAGATGTCATGAATTAATCGCATTTACTTGTGTGTTGTCTGGAGACTACATTACAAAAGGACCAGTGCATTGAATAACATGCAAAAGGGATAGTTCACCCCAAATTGAAAATTCAAACATTATCTACTCACCACTATGAGGATGGAGGGGTGGGTGAAGTGTTTGAGTCCACAAAACTCTTTCAGGGGGAAACGGGATTGGATTTGGCTGCAGCAATATTTACCACTCAAACACTTCACCCATCCATCCTCATAGCGCTGAGTAGATATGGAGTGACTTTTAGTTTTTGGGTGAACTATCCCTTTAAATTAACATTGTTAGAAAAGCAACCACAGATTCTTCAGGTCAGATTTAAATTGTAGTAGCTCGGCCTCCATTTCCCTAGATCCTTTGCGTGAAGACGTCAGAGACGAGTTGCTTGGAAGTGCATCCTGATTGGACAGAACCAGAAGAGGGTGGAGCTGTGTTTACACAAGTGTGTACATCCGGTCTGTCAAGTGAGAAGAGATACACTGATGCAGACCAGAAGCAGAATAATTAGCCTTCAAAATAAAAACAAAAAGGATCATCCCAATCAGAAATGCTTTGGTTGCAGTTGCTCCAACCAAAGGTAGAAATAAATACAGACCTAGGGAATTATAACAGATAAAAATACAAAATTTACGTTACAAATATCGAACAAAAAGAAGCATGTAAAATATCTGCTTTATACTACATCATATATAGAAAGAAGCTGAATAACAACATCCAACATATGCATAGTATAATATATTTTATCATCTATTGTGTTAATAAAGGCTAATAATGGTCTCACATTGGGCTCTGCTCATTATATCAGGTCTGTATTACATGTCTCATACTTCTAAATTAACTTTATATAATTGACTTTATATTTATGCTGAGACAAACTGAACAATGAGGGTGAGCAAGGTGGACTCAACCAGGAGCCAGCAGCAACTTATGATTTCAGAAAATGACTTTAATTGTTTTCATTATTGACAATTAACAAAGGCCATCGATGTTCAAATAGGAAATTATTAATGATCAAAAAGTAAATTTTACCCCTAAAATAACAAACAAATGCATAAACATGGAACGAACGTTATTGTTTATTCACAAAAACATATTGTGTTTGTTTTAACAACAAATTCTACTTCATTCTTTTGACCTGTTGTTTCATATTTTTGAACACTTTCTTCACACCCTCCAGAAGAAATGTATTTATCTATTCATCATTTTTCATTATTCACTCACACCAGCACTGAACATAACCAGCTGCTGCATCACTTCCTTGTTTGCTCAAATTGTAAATGTCTCTTTTATCCTGAAGAGCTCCAACAGGAAGTCTGCTCTCAGAGTGATGGAGGTGACCATGCTGTCTGAATGGCTGCTCCCTCAGGTCTCTACTTTGTGTTGATATTAACCTGTGACCGTGTAAAGTGTGGATGAGCTGGTTCATCTCCCGGGAACCATGATGTTCTGGAGCTCAGCAGCTCAGCGGGGAGGTGTGGGACTCCTCCGCCGCTGGTCCCTCACTCTCCCCCGGTGTCCTCTGCACACCTCCCGGTCCTTCTCAGGCTCTGTCCCCGCTGAGTGTCCCGCACACGAGGGGGCGCAGCCGCCCCTGAGGCGGTGGGATCTGACCGTCAGCCCCTTCGGCTCGGTGCGGGCTCGGCTCTCCTGCAGCGTCTCCATCCACCCGCTGGACCCGCACACCTTCCCGGAGGCCGACCGAGCCTTCGTCACGGTCCACGGGGCGGAGGGCGAGCAGGAGGTCGGTCTGGATCACTTACACGTCCGGTACGATGACCGGAGCCGAGAGCTGCTCATCTCTGCAGAGAAGGTGAACAGCAGCGTGTCCATAGATGTGGCTGCTCCCATTAAAAGCAGTGAGTGTGAGGTGATGAGTCAATGGAGGAACATATAAAACTATCATCTTTCCCTGGATAATAACACGTGTGTGTGTGTGTGTGTGTGTGTGTGTGTGTGTGTGTGTGTGTGTGTGTGTGTGTGTGTGTGTGTGTGTGTGTCAGATCTGTTCATTACTACTGAAGGACGAGGCAACGTGAGTGTAATGAAAATGGAGTGTGACATCTGCAAAGTGCAAACACAGAGAGGAAACTGTTTGCTGAATTCTGTCAAGGTGGGTGGTGGCATGAAGCAGACACCAAGGATACATGGAAAACACACAGGGAGGCACCGATGTGGTGTTGTTGTGCACGGTTTGTTTCTTAATGGCTGATATCAGCAGTTATGTGATATTGTAATATTGATTGACATTTAGGGAAATCAATTGCTTCAAAAACAACATCCAAAACAATAACAGCATATGTCACAAAAACGTACTCTCAAGTAAACCCAGTGGGGCTGTGTGGGTTGCAGCTCCTGGCATTAAACAATCAGAGCTATTATTTTAAATGGCACATACTCCCTCAACAGACTAGAACTTTATTAGAGGAAGAAAGAACAAAGAAAACACAGTATGTCAAACAAATCAAATTTCTGCTCAGTCCAGATAACAATATGAAAGGCATATGACATAAAGAGATTCCAGGTCTTTTCAAATGTGTGTGTGTGAAAATTCACCACCTCTTTAAACCAGTTTGTGTGTAAAGGTGGAGCTGGGGATTTCCATTTCAACAATATCAATCTCCCAGCTAACAAAGTGGTGGATGCTATCATTACCTTATTAGCTGAAGAGATATTAAGCGAGACGGACGAAACTAAGCAGCTACAGCATCATGAGACTCCTCCTAGTATCATGGGCCCTTGTTCCAGTATGGGGGGGGCTTGGTCTTCAGAGTGACTTGTCCTGCCGGCTCCTCTCACTCTTTTTTTTATTGTCTCTCAGGGTCATCAGGTGGAGGTGCAGTCCAGTGGAGGACATGTCACAGGTGTGGGCACCATCCACGGAAATGTGGACATCAGGACGCGTGGAGACAGTGTAAGGACGAGTGTGTTTTTACTTGGTACTGGTTGGTCTCACACTCAGCAGACATTAGGGGGCAGCAGCAGCCTGAACACACAATCCATAACTGTCTAACTATGAATGCAGGCATGGCTGTCTGTGTGTGTGTCTCTATCCTTTAAATGTCTTAACAATTGCTCGTCCGATGGACATCAAACTTCCCGGGTGTATTGCTGAGGATCCAAACAAATGCAGAGGCAATTGTGAAGTTATTAAATAAACAGTTCCTGAGAAAATCAACAGACAGATTTTCCTCCATTTATTTTAAACTGTAAACTGCACTTGCTGTTACCATGGTTAACTCTCTGATAGTGTCCCTGACGACATCTTGAAAGGTCTCGTTCCAGCATGAAGGGCACAGCACTCATTTGTCCACATGTGTTTAAAAAGCTCTGAGTTTTATGTTTTACCACATCACCTGCCTGTGGCCTCGTGCAGTGATGGGTTGCATGTGTTCGCAGGCTGTGGATGTCAAGAAGCTCCAGGGCACCAGGATGAATGTCTCAACAGAACACGGGCCTCTGAAGGTCAAAGCCATCTACGCTGACTCCAGCTGCATCTCCTCGTGCTCAGGCAGAGTACAGCTGGGGCATGTGCACGGTGAGCTAGCAGTAGCATCCACCTCTCATCTATATAAGCATCTATAAAGTGTATAGTATGTGTATATAACCTCAACTGTGCTGTTTGTGTGGTCAGTGCTGCAGACAGTGAAGCAGGAAGCATGAAGTTTACTCTATTGCTGCGCTGAGTTTGAATTACAGTTAGTACTTTGACTCAACTACATTTCAGAGTAGTTTTCACTCCACATTTATTTGACAGTTATTGCTACCAGATATTTTTTTGTTTTGACATGCTATCTATGAAATGTGTACTTAATAACACAAAAATGAACGAATACACACAACAAAGTAAAACACAGATTAGAACAAAACAAAAACAGAGAAGTGGGTTAAGGGTCATAAAAACAGTCCATGGACACTAGAGGTCGAGGAACGTCCAAAATAAACATCCGAGATATTAAGAAACTTGGACTGGGAGCCGTTCAAGGTATAAACAGGAAACCATGTCATTAAACCCTTTTAATAGCAAGATTTCCACTTTCTTAGAATAACCCTTTAAGCTGTGATCACACCAAACATGAGGGTTTGTTTTCATGTTGGAAGGAAGCGTCGTCAAATAATTAAAAATATTTAGAATTTGAAGATTTTACATACTGAACACAGCAAAAAAAAGGAAAGGCCTTACAAATATAGTTTATCTATCACTGAGTTGTATTTCCTTTAAAAATGTATAAGATATAAACCATGTCAAAATGTCAACTGCATTCCAATAAAACAAATAATTTTTGGGAGTAAGGACTGAAGGAGGAGGAGGAGAAAGAGGATCCTCTCAACTTCATCTCCAGCCATTTGCACCAATAATGATAAAACACAGCTAAAAGGTGCTTGCAAGTTAAAAATGTGAACAGTGCGAAACCATTCAAAGCAGTTTGAAGATCTCACAGCATTAGACAACATTAGAGCACAAATAGAATACAATTGTTACAAATCAGAAAATAATTAAAAGCTGAATAAAAAAAAAAAGATAAAATGATTTAAACAGTTGTTAAGATCAAGGCTATAATAAAATTAGATAAATAAATAAAAGTTAAACGTTAAAATATCCTGTCGCTGTTGGAGGTCACTGTGACATCTGGGACGACAGAGTTCATGTGGTGCAGTGTGACACATCTGTGTTGTGTTAAACTGGTCGGTCAAGCAGGGCTTTGGTATGTGAGGAATTCTGGGCTCTGACCCAACAACGTCCATTTAACTGCAATGTGCTCACAATTACTGACGTATTCTGTACTTGTTTGTTTGTTCTGGATCGGCTGTAAAACAGGTTGGTTGTAAAAAAAATTATTGTGGGAAGAAGTGATGGAATGAGAAAGACAAACAGCTCCATGACACGATGAGAAGAATGATGAGTGCATCATCTTCGTAGAATTTTAATCTGTTCCTGACAGTATTGGGTCTCACATCAAAGAATGCATGGAAACAATTATCCTGTAAACTTCAGGTTTATGATACAGTAAAGTATGTGTCAGAGGTCGTGTGTCTCTAATATTCCACGGTCTTAACGTCTCTGTTTACCTATAGTTTACTTTAAATGATCTGACAGCTCGTTATGTTGTCTTTGATTCAAAGGTGACGCCTCTGTGAAGAACGTGTCTGGAGATACAGTCATAGGTGAGCAGACTGATTACACAATCTCTTTCGTATGGTTTCTATCAGCAGCTGCTGAAAAGCAAAACACGTGAGGCTTGCTTTGCTTTCGCAGATGGTTCAAATAGTTCCCTGGATGTTTCCTCTCACAGCGGAGGCATCGATGTCTATGTGGGAGATGGCGGCAGTGCTGAACTCCACAGTGAGGAAGGTAAACACACGGTTTGAGGAAAATATTCATTTGATGAACCCTAGCTACCTTTTGAGTCGTACTCTCATTCTCCTGTCGTACGCAGGAGCGGTGTGTGTGCGTGTCCCATCCTCGCTGAAAGCCGGGGTGGAGCTCTGCGGAGCGGAGGTGGAAATCCTCCCAGATGTTGTCCTGGATGGAGCAGAAAACCACACAGCTCAAGGCCAAACCACAGTTACTGGTAAACCATTATTAGTTTTCATGAAATTACACTTTATTTTATTGTTCAAGAAAGAACGAGGATCTCCGCCAAGGCAACAACAGGCTCCTTAAGTTCAAGCTGCTCCGCACACACTCATAGATATCAGTTCTATAAAGGTAGAATTTTTACAATCAAGATTTCTACATTATTTCTTGTGAAATTCACAAAAATGTAAAATAAAAAAAGAAAATACTCATAACTAGCAGAAAAACTAAACTGGATCTGTCCCAAAATGTAATGGGTTATTTTTTGACCCAGGTTTTTGACCCATGTCCAAGTTTCATGGAAATCTGTCCAGTAGTTTCTGCGTTATCCTGCTGAAAAACACAAACAGGGGAATTAACTAAACCCTTAACAACCACCTTTCTGTATCTGTTACATCCTCCAAATATTCTCTCAGGTTATCTGAATGGAGCGTCTCCAGTGGACCGGTGGGTGAAAGCTCGGGCAGACCGAGGATCTGTCACTCTGAAGACACAGAGCTGGTTTGAGTCGTTGAAGCTGGGGAGCTGAGTTGTGACTGACTTCACACTTACAGACAGAGACCTTTACCTCACTGATGAACTCTCTGCTCAGGATAAAACTGTTAATGAGGAAATGATATCTATAGTATTTAACAAATGTTCTCTATGTGTTAAAAACCAGTGTACATACAGTTTCCTGAGGGTGGGGAGTGAACTGTGTAACTTACAACTGGTTTGTTATTAATGATAAAATATTAACTTGAACAAGAAATCTCAGTTTGTGACATTAGCATCAAATATCTTCACTGTCATATTTAATTAGTTACAAAATATATATTTTTAAATCATGCCTATTATTGAAAGTTAATAAATACAAAATGTTTATCTTAACAATTCATATTTATATCTTTAAACATATTTCCTAAAATCCTCTTTGCACATCCCAAAAGAGCGTCATGCTAGTGCCTCAAATGAACTATTCAACTATAATGAGCTTCATCTCAGTTCATCTTAGTTTTCACATGAAACAAATCCACACACTGTTAAACAGTAGAAATAAAATCAAGTGCAAAGCAAGACATCAAGGTTGTAAATTAAAAATGCATTATTTTAATTTAATAAGCATAAATAACAAAACTGTTTTAAAGGGAACGGGAACAATAATGTGTACACAAACACATTCGCTGGAAAAACAATTACAAAGATTTGAAATATATTTAACAAGCTCTGAAATGTTACAAATTAACAATGATAAAGTTTTGCAACAACAAAGTATAAAGCTACACAAATTATTTTATATCAACAATAGTCATGTCTTAACACCTTAATATGGCTGAATGCACTGGCCACCGCAGCATCGCCACCACACTGCATTCACACTTTGGATCATCTGTAATAAATAGTTCTATCATTAAATCATTAAGTCTAGTGATTTCTGAATTGTGGCTACAGCTCAACTGTAGATTGTATGTGTTTCATCACTATGTTTCTTTTAACAAGAGCATTTTATACTAAGTTTGTCAATCTGTAATATGGTTAGACTGACACAGATCAATATCACCAGCTAAGATGTACAGTGAATATGATGCTAAAATGATGTAGGTAAGCTTTTTTTTAAAAACTACATCCACTTAGTTGTTACAATTGACACGGAGATTTGTGATGGCTGGCTGAACAAAATATATGTGGAGCAAACGAAATGCATGCATATAAAATAAATTAGCTGTATTCCAATGAGAGAAGTATATCATATCCTACAAGGAAAAATGACGCCTGAGGCAAAACAGTCATGTAAAAACATAGAAAAGCATCAAAGAGTCTGTGAAGTATTTACGTGGAAGACAAACTGTCATCTGCAGGATGAAACTCAAGACCGCAGAGTAAAGCATTCCAATGTGAGGAGCTGATGAAGTATAATGTGTCAGGGAGGCGGCAGATGTAGTGCTATGTCTGAGATTGTATCCAGACAGAAATGATAAACTCACAGAAGGTGAAGCTGATAACATTTGAATGATTATCTCCAATGTTGGTTTGTAGAAAATGCTTCTTTCACAAATATACGATGGAGTGCTGCCGCTGTGGTTTGATTGACAGTGAGGCTACGTGAGGCTCTCTTTTTATAAAGCACTAATAGAGATCTGTTTATATCCTCTCTGTACCCGCTGCTCTTGTGATCACTGAGTGCTCCACCACTTCCCAGGTGTTCTCAGTCTTGATGGGTCTTGTTACTGGATGCAGAACTTTGCCTGTGTTGCTTCCAGTCCTGTATGGAGAGAAGTCGTTGCTGTGCTCCCAGTGTTTCACACGAGGCTGCAGCTTTAAGGCGGCCGCCCTGAGGGAACACACATTTCTCATTAAACATCCTCATGCGGGACTTTGCGGCACTCTTTGAAGTTTGTGTCCTACTTGGAGATGTTGCTGCAGCAGGTCATCGTGACGGAGCAGAGCGGGGGACAGATCCTTTCTATGAGTCGTAGCGTGCGATCGGTGAGAAGAACGCAGCCGCTCACATCCAGCTCTCGCAGGTACTGAGATCCACTTGTCAGATACTGCATCGCCATGTCTGTCATCTGAGGCGAGAAGAGGAAACAAGAAAGTGTGGACCAATGAAAACAATGTGAATAAAGAAAGATGAAGGGCAACATAACATAGCTCTCTTATGTTGACTTTGAACTACAATGACATTCAGTAGAGTATTTCTCACACTTGAAGATATCAGTTTTCTTAAATTAAATCAAGATCTATGACAGGGATCTGCCCCCTGATAGGATCTGCACCAAACGAGTTCTTCCCTGAGCCGTACCACATACTTCTTCCAAGTTTTGTGATCATACATCCAGTAGTTTTTGTGTAATCTTGTTTACAAAGAAAAAAAAATAAAACTTAGTGAAGGTAATTAGAGATCCACCATGTTTCAAGCTCCTGTACATGCGCTTCATTTTTCTTTACATGAAATGACAAAAGAAAACACAATAGACATTAAAAAGGCTTTAATAGGAAGAGTTTTTGTGTGTGTGTACGTGTGTGTGCACGTGTGTGTGCACGTGTGTGTGCACGTGTGTGTGCACGTGTGTGTGCACGTGTGTGTGCACGTGTGTGTGCACGTGTGTACCTTGGGACAGCCTGACATCCGCAGTGTGACTAGACTCCTGCAGTAGAATGAAATGGCTCTAATGGCCAGGTCAGACAGAGCGACGCAGTGAGACACATCAACACGTTCCAGATCTCTCATGTTCCTGCACAGCTTCTGTTGTCGTGGGGGAACAAATGAAATGATGGAGAGATTTTTGATGAAGGTGAACTGATGCCATGTAGGTTAATGAGAAACCACATCTCCTAGAAGATGTCACATCTACATGTTCACATCTGTTTGTGGCAGAAACAGTAAGTGAATGAATAATGACTTTCCTGAAAACTGCCTAGAAAACAAGTGGTTATGTTTATTTCCTGTCAAGGGTCGACATTAACAAACACTGGAGAACAAAGTAAACTGACTCATCAAAACGTGTTTCGCAACGTGTTGAAACTCTAGCTGGATTTATACCTCGATGCCAATATCTGTGATGTTGACACACTCTGCAAGGACTAACTTCCTCAGGCTAATGTCCTCGATGGCAGCCAGCCCCTAAAAAAACACAAAACTACCAAGTTACAGACTGTTCAACACAAGGGTCCTTATGTTCTCAAGGAATGTGTGACTGTAATCTAAATGATACCTGATCCTGGATGTTGCAACCGCTGAGGTCAAGAGAGCAGATCGAGCTGCCACTCAGCCACTCCAGACTCGCGTCGGTCAGTTTCACACAGTAACTCAAGTTGAGGTGGGAGAGTTTACACAACCTGATCGATTGTACACAAACACAAAAGAACTGCTGTGTGACACATATCAACAGACCATTACAAGGTAAGTGCGTAGTGTCTTTGTCTACCTTTGTGCGATCCTCATGACAGAGATGTCGGTGAGGAGCCGGCAGTGACTGACGTTCAGCTCTCGCAATTTGGCGACTGAGGAGCCTATAGTCAAATATTTGATCCCAGCATCACTCACCCTGAAACACACACATTTACTTCATGCAGCTTATGACATCACAGAAACTTACATAATGTGCACTGTGCACCTGTGTACATAAAGCTTTGGTTTTAACTGCATTTTATTTGACTTAAAACTTTTTGTATTTCGCTTCTCTGTACTTTGTCTGCTACTGTGACAAATTCATTTCCCCTCAATGCTTCATGTTGCAGATACACACTTGTTGCAAAGCGAGATGTCCAGGTACTGCAGGTTCTTGAGGGTGGCCACAGACTTAAGGCTGGTGTCAGTCATTCTAGGACATTGTGCGGCGTGGAGTCTGTGGAGGCCTTGTGAGCTGCTGCACAGAGCCTCCCAGCTGACGTCTGAGAGCTGGGAGTTCCCTAAAGACAGAACAACTGTATCAAGATTGTAGTATTTCATGTGTTGACCTGAGGCTCTAGGCTGCAACATGACCTCACCCTCTGTACTGAGAGTCTTCAGCGTGGCTGCTTCACTGATGGCTATAAACGCGATGTCGGAAAGATGATGAGCATCCAGAAGAGAAATGGCAGATAGACAGCGACATCTGGCAAGTAGTGCCTATTAGAGATGAGGGATGATCCAAACTAAGTTTAAAGGGGTAAAGGGGTTAAGGGGTTAAGGATGTGTGGTCACACAGTTATGCATGAGCTGACTGAGTAAATTCTTTTCTAATTTATTCCTTATTTTCTGCCGCAGCCGTTACAGAGCTGGGAAGTGAAGACTGTGTGAAACCTGAGATGTAAGAAATGATGAAACTCACCAGGACACAGTTATCGGACAGTGTGGGCATGTCATCAATCACAACTTCTCTAAGTGAAGGGCATCCAGCTGAAAGGTATTTGAACCCGTTTACAGTCATCTGGGAGGAGAGAGGGGAAAATGTGTGTCCACGTTGGAATCTGAATCATTTTCCTGGATGCTGTTTTCCTCAGTGCTCACATTCTCTGGGCCCCATAAAGTGAAACCATACATCTGGATCCAAACTAAATGAACGCACATTTCCAGAGGAGAGTGTGTTTTATGTTGCTGTGCATGTGTCTTATGTTATGGAGTGTGCACATCTTGAGTGGGTGGGCCAGAGATGATTGTGTAAACCCAACCCTCCACTGGGCCACAGCTGCCTTTTACTCTGCTTCTCCTTCACTTTTCATCCATTCGCTTAAAGTGCTGAAAGAGTACAAACAGGGGAGAGCCAGAAACGAGAGAGGAGACACGTGTGAGCAGAGAACAGGGACTGGATCTATCCAAGACAGACTCTGCATCCACAGTTGAAGCTGGGACTATAAACCAAACCAAGAGGAGAGCAACAACTGACCTGAGTGCAGCCGGACAGATTGAGGTGGATGAGACTGTGGCAGCCCTTCCCTGTGGTCAGGTACATAAATCCTTTGTCTGTGAATCTGTAGCAGTAGGCCAGACTCAGGTATTGAAGGTTGAGACAGTTTCTGTTCAAAACAGATTGTTAGATTCATTTATAAGAAACAAATGATTTGTGAATATAACAGATGTTTTTATGTTGTTTTTAACAAAATTCTGGCATGGGTCAATGTGAAATATATCCCAAAACATTTTACACAACACTGCTACCCATGGGAGAGAGAGCGAGAGAGAGCCAATGACTGCAAACTGTTGTTTCACTAATCTGTCGATGATGCAATCACACAGTCTAGCCAACTTTGTTGTGAGTTCCACATCTGTTCTAAATCGTTACAATGGCTGTACACACTCTGCTTTCAGACGTGAAATAAGACCCAGCAGGCTTCTTTTTGGTGGACAAACACAAATGGGGATAATTCTGGGATCTAAAATGACAGAGGCTAGAAAAGATCACTGTGATACTCAGTTGTGTATTAGAGCACAACTCGAATCACGAAACCTAACGCCTGATGGATTTACCACATCTGGAGTTTTACCTGGACAGTTCTCTGAGAGCTTTGTCTGTAACAAGTGTGCAGGAAAGGTTCAAGTAGAGCAGGCTGGGGCAGCCTTCGACAATTTCCTGAACCATTGTATCCTGTTAAAGAGCAAGGGGTCAAGTTTTACCATCACCGCAAGAAAATCAATCACAATCAGTGGTGCATTAAAAAAGGATTTATATATTTTTGGTTTTCATGAGATGGAATAAATGTATAAATAATACAAGGAATAAAACAACTTAGAACTGCACCACATTTCACACCCTCATAGATATCAGTCTCTTTAATTAGCCTGATTTTCACTAAGATCCCTAAATTATTCTGAGGGAAAATGGTGAAGGTGTTGGAAAATCGTCTATTTGACAATGTTAAAGAAAGTAATAAAAGAATTCCTGATCCGGATCAAAAGCACCCTTTCAACAAGTTTTGCAGAAATCTGTCCTGTTGTTTTTGTGTAATTTTCCCTTAAATCAAACAACATGCAAAACAACAGACAGAGGTGAAAACATAACCTCCTTGGCCCAGGTAAAAATGTAATAAGATACCGGACAACTGCGATCTTACTCTTATCTGTGATTCTCTTCTAAACATTAACAATGAGGACATTTTTGTTAATTTATCAATACTTTATCAATGTTAAATTGTTGATAGTGTGAACAGTAATATTTGTGATGGATTTACTTATAGATTTAGGATTTTACCACCATCTAAACATTATGGTCTTAACAGTGCTTTACTTACTGTGACATTAAAACACTCTGATACATTGAGCTCCTGGAGATTTCTGCATTCACCTTAGAAAAAACAATGTACGGAAAAAGAGTAAAGAGCAGATAAACAGTTGGTCCATTTCTTTTGTAAATACATTTTTTCTATGAATATGATGTAGGTTGTAATGTGTTAAGTGATATATGACATGTATGATATATAGTGGTCTAGTTTTAAAGCTGTACATACATTCCTGGATGGCTATGATCTCTTATGCAATGTGTAGCCTCTGTGTAGGCAGCAGCTGTGTTTCATCAACAACAACACTGCTGACCCATTGCTTTTTTTTAAAGCCTGTTTTTTTAGACTTTTTATCTCAAACTTGTGCTTTGGCTCCAGCTCTTCTAATTGAAAAGACAAACCCTGCAGAGCTGAGGATGCACATGACCTCTAGTCTCCTCTTCGCCTTCCTGCTCTTCCTCCTGCTCCCGAGCATCGACATGAAAAGGTCAGGAAGAGGAAGAGGAAGAGGCCTCAAAGGAGCGCGACACAAACTCACACACGACAGGTATGGATTTAGTCTTCACTTCATTCCATTTTTCACAGACTCATTATAATTTCTGATCATGTCTTTGTGTTTGAACACTGTCAGGGTCAGAGGTGCTGGGCGTCACAGCAGATCAGGCCCCTCCAGGCTTGTGCCACCCGACTGCTCAGAGTCAACAGAATCCGGAGACGTCTTTGTGGACTGTCAGGAACGACGTCTCTCCTCCGTTCCCAACGCCCAAACCTGGTCCAACGCACCCAAGCACCTCCTTCTAGCACGCAACCGGATCAAAGTCCTACGTGAGGGGACCTTCTTTGGATATGAGAGTTTAACTACTCTGGACCTGCAGCAGAACCGGATCTCTTCAATTGAGGATGGGGCCTTCCAGGGCCTGGTGCAACTTAAAACCTTGCTGCTGCAGCACAATAATCTGGAAACGCTTAATGAGGAGGCCCTCATCCCCATGCCAAACATCCGTTACCTGCGTTTATATGATAATCCCTGGAATTGTCTCTGCCCAATGGACAGTCTTATAAGCACCCTTCAGGTCCCAAGCAACCGCAATTTAGGAAAATATGCCAGGTGAATGTTTACGCCAAGGATGATGATAGAGTGTGATCTACTGCTCTGATCCCAGAGGCAAACAAGTCATCACTGAATCCCAGAAAGAAAATAAACTGCCTCCAAATATCACATTTGATTGATTCATGGCTCAACTGTATTTCCTCCTCTAGGTGTGTAGAGCCCTTCAGGTTTAAAGGCAAGAAGCTGAAGCAGATTGATCCTCAGTTGCTCTGTAAGGAGTCAGACCTGACCGGTGTCCCACAGGGCGACCAAACGGACACCCCAGGCCCTGTGGAGCCGGCTCCATTTCGCAGCAAACCAGACATAACCACAACTTGCCACACCTACATCTTCCCCCAAATACGAATGGACTGCACGAAACGAGGCAAGTCTGTCATCATATTTGTGTTAATATGGAAGATTAACTGTAGCCATGTGTTTTGAGGTATAAAATTCAGCATGTTTCATATGGATCAGAAGGGTTAAATGAAATATTTGTGTAAGTCAGCGAGTTTGTTTGCTCATGATGAAATATTACTGTTGCCTGACTGGAATGAATAAACTTTAAATTCTCTAAAGAAGCTTAAGGGCCAGACACAGAGCTGGCAGAGAGACACATCTGGTTTTGGCAGGTGTTTTTTATTCAATGTTATATTGCTCGCTTCCTCCACATCTGACCGAGTCCATGTTAAAGTCATTTGTCACCTCATGAACAACTTGGAAAGCACCAGCTAAACAAAGTTTGGCTACTATTTCAGAACAAGTCTGTTGCAAAACATATAGAGGCATTTTAAATTTACCTAAGAATAGACTAAATCAATTTTACAGCTATTTGTCTCCTACTGGCAGGAGGCCTGGACATTAGTGTCAAACTCAGGTCGTGGATAGAGGCAGAGCATATTTCCCAGCGTCTGACTGAACTCACAGCACAAAACTCAACTTGATGTCTCAGAGCAGTCTTTGGATGGTATAGAGGAAATATTTTTAAGATATTAAGAAAATTAATTGGGAGCATATGAATGCAGTTAAGTTATTTATTGGCAGATGTAAAATAATCAAATGTATATGAGGACCCCCTTAAGTAACCTCATCCTCTGTGTGTCCAGGTCTAACTGAGGTGCCGACAGGTATCCCAGAGGACGCTGTTCATATTGATCTGTCAAACAATTCAATCCGTCATCTGAGAGCCAAAGATTTCCAAACAGCCAGGGGCCTCAGATTCCTGAACCTCAGTAATAACAACATGGAGCACATCGACAAAGGTAAAAAACCTTATGTGTGTTGCATTATCATTACTGTAAATCTGAGAATCATTATCTGTGAATGAAATATGTGGGTCATATTTGAACACCCATACAGCAGCATTTTAAACCATGAGAGCATGTTACACAACTGCTGCTGACGTTGTTCCCCATGTGTTGTTTTTAGAAACATTCTGCTGTATTTGTGCAGAGCATACGTTTTAAATAGTGAGTAACAATCATCAACTGTTTGGCTACTACTGTATCCAAGTGATTCAGGAATAAACTGAACATGAGCCTCTACAGTCCAATCTGAGTTTATTGCACCACTGACTTTTACTTTTCTTTACTAAACAGCTATAGGACTAAATGTTTTGTGCTAAGTGAGGAACCAGCGGATGCTTTGCCCATGAATCTCTGTCTTGTCTCTCTTGTAGCGTCTCTGTCTGGGCTGCTGCACCTCCATGAGCTGGACTTGTCACACAACAGCCTCCATTTTGTCCAGTACGGGGTTCTCGAAGACCTTTACTTCCTGTCACAGCTGAAACTGAGAGGGAACCCTTGGGTTTGTGACTACAGGTGGGTTCTCCTGCTCAAATCTGTACGAATTGAATTAGCCACAAATGCAAATCCTGATTAAGAATCTGACTCCATTTTCCACAGCATCCACTACATGGTGTACTGGCTGCGTCTGCACCCAGGAGTGAGGCACTCTGGCCTTATCTGTCGCTCCCCTCCTGAACATACAGGGGAACGGGTGGAGGCCTATGTGCAATCCTACAACAGAGTGTGTCCAAAGGACAGACAGATCAGCAGAATAGACCAAGAACAAACGGACCCTGAGCTTTGGAACACACCGATGGAGGCGCAGGGAGAGCTGCAGGAGGAGCTGGAGCCCAGACACTTGAGGGTTCCACAGAAATACACAATCATCAGACTGTCCTGAAAATAAAACCTGGACCCTGATTATTTTTTGTTTCCCTTACTGTCATTTCCTTTCAATATTATAAAACAGTCTGTATCAGATGGAGAAACTGTATATTTCAGTGCTGCGTTTATGTGTCGTCAGTGTAATCAAAATATACGATTTGTCAACTTATTCACTGTCTTGTAATTATTACTGTTAAATCATGATCTGCAATGCACACACAAGTGAAACCTGGATATTGCTCATGACAAAAAAAATGTATGTTAAGATGTAGAAAACTCACTGATGCATTTAAAGCTGGGCCATGTCAGTGATGTGCAGCCTCGCAGGTTAAGATAGATCACAAATGGTCGGTAGTTCTGCAGAACTTGTTTCATTGTGCTGTCGGTTGTCCAGTGTTTCTCTACAGAGAAATTGATCTAACAGGGATGAAAATGAAGAAGCATTTATACTCCCCCTCCTATGATTTAATACATTTCCATTAATTAAATACAAGAATCAATCTCTGTACAGACCTGACTCCACAGTTTGCTGGATTGGATGATAGTTTTCCATGCACAACAAACCTCAGCACAATTCAACCTGTCTCGCAATTCTACATACTGAAAGATCTGAAAAAAATGATGAAACCACATATATGATAATGCTGAAAGAGGAGAGACATAATTTCCTATTGGCCTTAAGATTTAAGCAGATAACACTTCCTCTGTGTCAGGCATTATGAGAAATATCCACAAATCAGTGCAATTAAATAATTTCCACACTGACCCTCTGACTGACATTTGGTCCATATGTTTTTAATTTCACATATCCAGCCCATATCCAAACTCTGGCCAATGTCAGGGTGTCCAGATGTGTTTTTTTATTGCCACCTCTGGCACTGCCACTTTGCAAGGCACAGTGAACAAGCAGCCCTTTTCTCTCGCTCCAAACATAGGCATGCTGGAACATTATTTATTGTGAGAGGTGTTGGACAGAAACTCCAGAGCAAACAAAGCCAAAAAATGCTCTTGCATTTCCAGCAAATGAGAATCCAAAGCAAACAGAGGCTACAACACATCAGTGTTAGAAGAGACGGGAAGTAAGAAGAGGTTTTCAACATATTTATATATAACATATTTTATCAACATCTGCTGGTATGAAATTACTTCAACAATTACATAAGATCTAGAAAAATATTACAATGAATATACAGGAAACTATAACTCTGCAACATCTCTACTGTAAACATCGTCCTCTCTGTGCAGTTGGTAGGTAAACTACAACATAGCTGGTGGTGACTGACTTTGATCAACTGGCCTCTCAGACACTGGAAATATGTTTATAGTGAAGTCCACTTTGAGTATTATGTAACAGGTTTGTATGATCTCATCATACTGTGCGTGTCAACTTCATGAACACTGTGAGGTTTAAGATCAACTACCTTCAATGAGACGCTGCTAGGGAGCATGGAGAGTCTGTCACATTCTTCTCTAATCTGGTGGTCTCTGTTGCAGATTTCCAACAAACCCATATCCAACTTCTGCAAGAAGCATAAACAGACAATGAGGAATGTTGCTAGAAATAAATATTTATTATCAAATTCCACATAACAGTACCTTAAAGTATTCTTTTGTTCTCTTTGACTCCGCTGAAACATTATGCCATGCAGTTATGATGCGTTTAAGGCGACCAGCGTTTACAAGTCCCTCCAGTTTCTCAACAGCAGCTTAGTTGGAAAGAAAATAAACATCTCCTCAAGTGTTTGGAATTCTGCAGGTTTTTTTAGCCTAGGATAACATATGAGCTAAATTATAACAAAAATCATGATCACAAAGTTGCATTTTAGAGAATCTTGAGACAAATTTGGATTTGAGCATTAGAGCCAAGTCTCAAGAGTTTTAATGGTGAATGTAAAGGGGACAAAATGAGTCACAGGAGTGGGTGTTTAAAGCGGGGGAAAACTTATTGACAGGAAAGACTTTGAGTTTGGACACATTTCTTTACCACAGCCCTGTTTTCTCTGGCTAAAAAATGAGAGTCACAGTTTGCAAAAACAGTCAGTTCACATTAGTTCAGCCAACAGCCCCCATGAATATTCTTTTCACACAGAAATACTTGTAGGTCACCTACCGGCCTGTTTCTTCTTGTGTAATTTTACCCACTTCAACCATTTGGTGACTGCAGTCCGCTGGCATCTCCTCTCAAAGTGTTTCATTGTCACGTCCATCTTCAGAGCCAGGTCTGTGGTATCTCTCTTGCTCTGCACAGTGAAACTCTGCCACTTCCTGTGGACACAGGTCATCATTAATTCAGAGGACGTGCACAGAGACAGGCTGTCTGGAGCTTGCATCAACTCAACAGGACAGGAATCAGCAACACTGAAATAAAACTCATGGATTAGTTTGAATCATTATGTCAAATAGGTTTATGCTGAGGATTTTCTCAGCTGAAGCAGGTTTAGACATTCAGACAGAGCCGAGTGTTCGGTTGTTCAGAGGGAGATGACTTAAGAGGTGAAAGGGAATCTGTGAAATAGAATATCCTAATGCATGTGCTCACTTGTTAACAATGATCCAGAGAAAATGTTCAACACTTTCATTCACATGTGTCAAGGTTCTGCCTGAAGCTCCACCTGAGTCACTCTCTCTTGCTACAATTCAAAGAGTGAAATTGTGATGGGTGAACATAATTCTGTAAACACAGGTTTCAACATCCTAATTGTTCAATTGTTGAGTTGATATTCTGCATTCTTAACATTCATCTTGAGTTGACGTGCTGTAATCAGTTGTTGCAGCTACTCGGCAGGTAGTTCATGTGGGGAGAAAAAGAGAGAGAGGAGGGCAGAGTGGATGAGAATGTGTTCAGACATCACTATAAGTTATGAGTAAAACCAGAGGTGTTGGACTGGATACATAGGAGAGTAAAACGTCTATACTTATCTTCTTTTTTTTTTAAACTGGATGTAGCCACAATACACTTTTACAAAGTTATGATCAAACTTAATGTCTTTGTATGACTCTATAATTTAAGAATTTCTATATCAGGATTTATATGAAGCCATAAAAAGGGAGGCAACAGGTGTTTTTAAACTACCTGTAAGTTCTCAGATACATTTCTGAATTTATATTAGAGATATTTAAGTCTTCAAATGTCCTTCGAAAAAATGCTCCACTGCCCGTCTAATTGGGTTTTCACACAGCACCAGCTGCTGCAATCACCTCACTGCAGTCAGAGTCTGAAATGTTTGAGTATCCTTCCCTGTCATCGTCTTGCTGTCAAACTTTCTCTGGAGAGGGACAGATCAGAGCATGATTGACTGTTACCTGGTCTGGCAGATTTGATTTAATAGTCTGCGTCCTGCTGCCATGGATCTTCTGTTTGGGTAAATAAGACACAAGTGTGTATCTTCGATTAAATTTGTCCCATTTGAAGTTATTTTGTTCTAACTTCATTGTTTTTCAGGGTTTCTCGGATTTGCACTCTGTTTTTATGGGGTTGCATTTGTTTTCCTCCACAGAAAGGTAAGTTTTTATTTATTTTTTGTATCATTAGTCACAGCTAAGTTCAACCACATGAATTTAATGTTTGTTTATTTCCTGATAGGTTGCAACATTGCACATGGCTACTATGTCCATGAGAACCCACAAACCTCAAACCAGTTTCACTCTTTAAACACAGAATTGAAGGATACAACACAGGTTACGGGGGAGCAGAGCTTTGTTTCTCCTCAGAGAGAACCAGTTCATTTTGATGTTACCAGCCTTGGTGAACACATGGTGCTACACCAACCAGACTCAGGACAGGAGCAGGACGAATATTATGCGGTTTCCTCTCCTGCTGTGCAGAAATATGAAAGCACCCAACATCCTTTTGGTGTTTTACTGAAGCAGCACACACCAGAGACAACTGTGGAGGGCATCAGCTTCCCAACAATCAAAGATTTCAGACGGTTCATAGAGACAATGAAGAGCTCCTATTTAAAACCAGGAAGCGACTCAAGTAGACATTTTCAAACTGCTCGAGAGACGATGAAAAATGAGTTGACTTCTGGTGCTGAAATGATTAATGGAGAGTCTTCTATCTCTAATTCTGTGCAGGACGGATCTGCCCACGATGACCGCAGTAAAAATGTAGTCTGGAGTGAACCAGATGCCAACGACCACAAACCAATGAGTGAAAGCCTTTCTTTCTTTAATCCTGTCGACTCCACTGAAAGTGTAATTTCTCCCAGTGGTTATGACGACCAAGAATCTGGATCCAGCTCTGCTTTCTACTCGCAGAATCATTTAGGAGCCACAGAACAGGTTTTAAGTGATTATGGAAGTTTGGCCAATGATGGCATTTCTGGGGAAAACCGTGATATTTTCTCAAGTGCTGCTGATGTGCAAAATGAAGTTCAGTCAACAAGCCACAACCTCCCTGAACAAAAACCTCCTAGCTATTTCTTAGGAGGGTCTCATTCTTTCAGTGGCCATGTGACTGCATCACCTGTCACAAACAGCCCATCTCGAGATCTCAGCTTCTATTCAAGTAAGAAATCCATTGTAAAACCTCTAACCTCTGAGAAAACTATGACACAACCAACATATTCATCTCCCAGTGGAGACTCTTTAACTGGGTATCAACAGAGTATTGATTTCCAAAGAGAAGAGCAGCCCAGAATGACTGAAGTTGATGTCCTGTCTCTGCATAAGCCTTTGAATTCCTACGGTAAAAGTATATTTGTTAGTGCACCAAGAAGTCAATTCTACATCCCAGATGTATCCAAACACAAGGAAATACCTGCCAAATTATCTCTGGTATATAAACCTACTGTTGGGAAGGAATCAAACAATATAAACTCTGCTCCCATCATCCACCTGCCTGTTTCCAACTTTCACCTTTCACCTCAGAGGAGTAGCAGCCATGTGGGTATTGAAGCAAGTGAACCTCGGGATCAAGTGTTTAGCATAAAGCAGCCACTCAGATCTTACCTGTTCAGTGTGAAACCTTCCAGCTCTCAAGAGTCAAGCAGACATGATGGCTATTTCCCAAACCAGAGGGTCAGTGTTTCCCATCCGTCCATCAGTGCTCAGGCAAAACCTGAAATATCTGACCTGTCCAACGAGAATCTTGTGTCCGCCATTCAGGAACCAAAACAAATGAATGACTATGCTTCTGTTCCACCTTCTAATGGCTTAGATTCCACCCAGAGGGGGATCTCATCTCAGATTAATGATGTTCATGCAAGTTATCCAACGAACTCTCACCCAAACTCAAAACTAAAAGTCTTTTCAAGACTATTTGGCAATGAAGCAAAGTCCAAGAACTTTGAAGTCAGGGATATAAGTTCTGATAGGTTTCTACCTGGTGATACACATGGTACTAAAAAGACCCAGGACTCCCGAGGCGTTTCTCTAAATGGTGGATCTGTGAGTGATACCACTGCTGACCCTCTGCATACCTTCACACAACCAACCATTGTGCAGAAGCATCCAGCCAACGTAATCAGAGAGCCCAGCACCAGGGCCTCCCGCCCCTCTAAAACACTGTCCACATCCAAAGTGTCAGCTTCTACCCCCAGTGGTGTCTTTTGGAGAAAAGGTGGAAACATAAAAAGGCTTCCTCCTAAAAGAGGCACCAAACAATCACCAAAAAATATGAACACGTATGTTAAGAAGTCAAGAAACAGCTACCTGTATGTAAGGAGCAAAGTATTTCTGTCAAACACCCGTTATTCACCATATCAGCACGTTGAAGACAAGACCGCTAAAGACCAATGGAAATCTGACCCAAGACACCAAAGAGCACCACTGTTTGAAGGAGGTGGAGAAAGGAAGAATCAATACTTTCAGTGAGAGAAAATGGTATGCAAAAACTTTTAAATATTTAAATGTAAACATAACTGCAGTGCTTATAACTAGAATCATTTGATTTAAATATGGAAATATTTGGCACATCTTGATGCTGAAAATTGTGGCTGTGATTTTTCTTTTTTCTTTTCTTTTAATTGTAGGTCAAACCACTGATTGGCAGAGAGTCCTTTTGTTACTGTAAGTGTTCCTACCACAGACATGTGTTTAATTCTCAAACTCCTGAAAACTGTTGAACATTTCTTTGTTTTCAATAGGATCTGTTTCTGTGAATCACAAGTTGATATTTCTGAGAAGTTCCATGTAAGGTGAGTTTCATGGCCCTCTTCATTCCCTCTAAAAAAAAAAATCAGAACTTGTGCTGGTTTTGAAGTCAACATACATCATATGACAATAAAAAATGATCTTGTTTCATATGATGATAATCAATAATTTAGTTGTTACATCACTCTATTTCGGGCACTAATTCTTATTTATTAGTGCAAATAATATTTAATAATTGTATTTATTATCAAATGAATTTACAGAACATGTCCTATATTATGATATGCATCTTTGTCTGGATATGATGTGACCTATATTGGAATGAGATGCACAGATGGTCTACCTGAAGCAGGCGCTTGTTAAACTTTTCCTGTAGCAGCAGTACGCCTTCTCCAGCAGACTAAAGGACAACTAGAAATGAATACAGAACAGCAATTATTATAAAAGCACTGAAACCGTCTCATTTGAATCCAAGTGATTTGTCTGAGATTTAACTTTACTTTCAGTGGCATGTATGCTAATAAACCATACTATACCATGTCATCTGGATCCATGTAGACGCCCATTGTCCTGCGTGTCAGAGAGGATGCTGTCCACTGTTCCACATCAGTAACAAACTTGTGCCTTAAAAAAAGTTGACATCAAGAAAAGATAATGATTAAAACTGAATGAGTCATGCCTTTTAAAATGACTAAATGTGCAATAGGATAAACTTAAATGGCTAAATAGCTGGAAACAGGGAACATGATGCAATTACAAACACAGTGTGATTATTGAGAAATATACTATCTGCAATTTCATTTGTTTGTTTTTTTTATACATGCCGTTCCTTTCACTGAATGTATTTTAAGTGTGAAGAGATTGAATGTGTGTGAAAACTGGTTTCTCCACCTCCCTTAATCTGTTTTAATGACCCACCTCGACTTTCTCTTGCAGCAGTAAAAAGTTGGGAAAGTGAGCCACCGTGTGCTCGTCTTTAGAAGAGTCACAGGAGAAGGAGGTGCACCTACCAGTCTACATCCTGGAGATGATCCTGTCCGTAGAGGGCCACAAGAGTGTTCTTCAGAAACTGTATTGGATCACTGGGACATGACAGACATGAAGCTGTCAGCAGGGTCTGTTGTCGAGGAGGAATATGATAATAAAGATAATAACTTGTTGATCAAGAATGATGAAGATTCAAGTCATAATGGTTCTCAAAGAGAGATGGTCATGTGTATAACGCACTGAGGAGCTGACCTCAGGGCTGTGATTACCTGTAATGTTACTGTCCACATTTCCTCTTAAAGGTTCAGTGTGTAGAATTTAGTGACATCTAGTGGTGAAAGTTGCAGCTGAATATCCCTAATCTCTCCCTCCCTTTCCAAACATGACAGAGAGCCTGCAGTAGCCTTCAGTTGTCATAAAAAGTATTTAGTTTGTCCACTTTGGACTACTGTAAAAAAACAAAAACATGATGGCCTCTGTAGAAAGGACCTGTACAAGTATATAAATATAAAGGGCCCATTCTAGGATGAAGAATACAATTTGAACAATTTAGATGAAACACACCAGTGAAAACATCTAGGATTATCTTATATTCAATTCCTGTTTATTAATCCCTTTCGCTTAAATCTTACACACTGGACCTTTACAATAACTGACCTTAGATATTTGTGGCAGGCAGTGGTTCAGGTCGCTCTCTTCCAGAACAGGCTTTGTCTTCGCCATCTTTAATCTGTCGATCGACAAATTAAAAATATTTATCACGTTAATATTTCGTCACATTCCGCATGGTCCTGGAAACCAAGCGTTGCCAGGTAACAAAACAAGTAACGTTAAAAGTTGGCCAACAAATGACTTTAGATGTGCAAAGTCCACATTGTAAACATTTACTCTATCGGTTTTAATTAAAATGTTTGAGTCAAATTAAAAGGAATTCAAAGTACTTTATGAATGTATGTTATAAAACTAGATTATATATATCGGGTTTGTTCATACCCTCATACCCAATAACTCCGCGAAGGTTTTGGTCGGCCACCATGAGCCGCCCGGAAACAGACTGAAACATTGTTGACAACTGTAGCTTGTCAGCAAACCTCTCCAGCTCTCACAGCAATGGAGCCGTCTACGTTACTTAATCTGGGTTATGTGTAGGTTCCAGTGGTAGTCACCAATGTTTGCTAACTAATGAACCGGGTTAGTTAGCAAGCGAGTTCACAGATTCGACTCCTAACGCTTCTGAGCCTCTGTAGCTTGACGTCAGTTAGCTAGCAGAGCTCAACTACAGTTAGCAGCAGCATGGGCGATGGCAGTATCACTCCCCGGCTCGGCAACATGAAGGCTCTGCTTGGGATCGTTGCCGGAGCTGGAGCTTCCTACGGGATTTACAAGCTTATCAGCGGAGGCAACTTCAAGAGGAACAAGAAAAGCGCCACCGGTGAGAGCCCTGCTGTCAGGAGCAGTCAGCCCGGGGATGGTGCCCCCCAGCCGGGCAGCCTGCTGGCTAAAGTGTCCGGACTGGATGTTGTGTGTCCACGACCTGCGGATGCTGCATCAGGTACCCAATGATATGAGAAATTATTAATACTTAACACTCACACTAACCAGTTTATATCTGCTCTATCTTATGTTTGCTCTAAATTCCCTGTTTATAAACTAGTAAACCACATCTCGGTTGTCGTCATTAGGTTAATTGGCTTATGTTGCTCTACAGGGGGCATCATCCACCAGTCCCCTGGAAACCTGCAGCCCCAGCACCTGAAAATGCTGCTGTCATGTCTGCAGAGCAGCAATAATCCCTCTGACAGATGTCGGATTCTACTCACGTTAGGAAACGCTGCTGCCTTCACTGTGAATCAGGTACTGTAACAATATGCTTTCTCTAAAACCTTCTGCACATCAACTTGCTGGTTGCTTTATGCCTATAAAGAGTCTGAGTTGTCTTCATTTATCTTCTGTATTTCTTCACTCTTTTTTATCCCTGATCCTCCAGAACCAAATACGGGAGTTTGAAGGGATTCCTATCATAGCTGGTTTCCTCTCAGATCCCACTGCAGAGGTTCGAGTGCAGACTCTGACTGCTTTAAATAATCTCTGTATGAACATCCAGAACCAGGAGCAAATAAAGGTTTGTTACCATCCTGTACAGCATATATCATGCAGTCTAATACTGCGATGGGGTTTACTTGTACTCATGTACAATCTTGTACATTCATTTCCATTTTTTGGGGACAGACCTGTTTCACTAAAGATCTTTTCTTGTAGGTTTATGTGCCTCAAGTGCTGGAACTGATAGAGATGTCCCCGGTGAATTCCGACCTTCAGCTTGGAGCTCTCAGGCTGCTGACAAACCTTTCAGTCACAGACAAACACCAACACTTGCTAAAAGGATCAATTACACTTTTACTTTCTCTTGTTGTTGTGAGCAATGAAGTATTACAGGTAGGTAGATGATGATATACCATTTGTACGTCACTGAGATAAAATGATATGGTAGTAAAGTTGTGAGTACATCCGCATAAGTGAAGTATTTTTTGTTTCAGGTTCAGGCTTCTAAGGTCCTTGTGAATTTATCCTCTAATCCAGATATGATGGATGACATTGTTCAAGCTCAGGTAAGGATAAAGGAATGAAAAATTAAATCCTAATCCTTTCCAGCTTAGTTTGCATGTCTATGTTTAAAGTTCATCAAAACAAAAGTATTACATAATTCAACATCACATTTCTTATCAAACTTTTGTGAAAGGGCTCCAGATTTATTAGAAATCCTAATTTGAATCTTGTTCTTGTTTTTTTTGCTCAAGGCTCCAGCTTCTGTTGTGCTGCTATTTGACGCACGAACAGCCCCTGCAGTGCTTCTCCGACTGCTGACATTTGCGGGGAACTTAAAGGCCTGGAGGCCCTCGGTGCAGGTAGCAGAAGAACTGAGGCGGAAGCAGGACTGCCTGTTCCGAGTCATGCTAGATGAATCCTCCCAGCTCCACAGCAGGCTGGTCCAGCTGCTTTCACACCCCGATGGGGAGATTCAGGCCCACGTGGCTCGTATCTTAACATAGACTTCTCTGTCTGCACTCCTCACCCATGCACAGCTTTTGCTTCCACACACTTTGCCAAAGCCATCAACTTATCACCCTTGAATTATAAATCTGTTGACATTAAGAGCAGGCTGTGTAGCTTCCTGTGGATACTCAGCTTCCACTCCCACACACATTACCTACTGTGTTCCCCAGATCAATATTATTACCACACAAAACTAAATGATCAGTTCCTCCTCACCAGCCACTCCCCCTGATTTACAGTTACTTACACCAGGATTAATTGATGAGCAATGAGTGAGCAGGAAGCACAAAAAGCCTTTATTCAGTAGAGTATAAAGACAGGCTAAACCTTCTCCCTGTGTTCTTCCTGCCGCCAACACACTGTTTTCAATCAAAGCTCCACAGTGCCCTTCCTTCTTAGAACCTCTCCTTCCTTCTCTGAAGATCTTTTCCAGGTGAAATTTCTGAACCTAAAACCACTGCCAAAAGTTTTCTAGAGAATGTGTCTGTGTGACCTGTGAAGCATGGCCCAATACACCCTCACGCCTGTGGTTGAGAGAGACACTTGTTATTGAGAGAGCTGGTTTCTTGTTGCACTCCTCAGCATGCCTTGAAAACACCAATGAATGGGTGTACTACAGCTCCAGTCCTTGTTAATCTAACGACATGTTGGATTTAAATATTATGTTCTTACTTCAACGAAAGTAAGATATTTTGTCTGTTTATTTAATTTGAAAAGCCACATCATGATTTGAGGAAAGCCAAAATGAGCTTAAACCTCAGTGGAGATGGTCTCACATTCTCTGATTGTATGACAAGAAAAGGGTCCAGTGTATGAGGAAGGTTTGGAAGTTGAATCACTGCCTTCACTGCATTAAGAAAAGCTACCTGACGTGTTTATGGTGCTTGGTTAGAAGGCCACCTGAGTAAACCTTGTACACTAACCACAGCTGCCTGTACTCGGATACAACCGGTGATATTGAATGTCTCTACTGGCCGACAACCACCTGCGAATCCTCCAGGGAGGAGCTGGAGGAAGTTCCGAGGGAAAAAGGATGTCTGGGCTGTTACGATTGTTTTAAAGTTACACAACTTGAATGGTTGAGAGGTCAACAAAGCAGCGATGACAATAGCTGCGATTTCTGTTCGTGAAAAATGTTATCCATTTAAAACTAGCTTCTTGAATGACAGCAGTGATTGAATTATGAATTAAAGCCTTGTTATGTTAGGTTGTGCTCTTACTGCAATTAGACAGGTCCCAAGTGATAGATCCACATTTTTAGCTGCAGGACTGAAGCTGTGGACACATCTGCTCACTTGTATTCACAGAAAGGAGGAAGGGTGAAGGTGCATACCTCTGACTTGCATGAAAAGTCTCAGAATATGATTGTTTTTATGGCATGAGTCGCTCCAGGTGTATAAATGCTGCACATTATTGATGTTTGGACACTTACTTTATTTTCACCCAAATCTAAAATATCTCTCAGGCAATATAATTCTACTAGAAAAGATAGATCAGGAAAATGTTGGTTTAATTTTGACCTAGATTATGATATTTATTTAATGAAGTTGGATTTTACTGATGTAATGAGACGTGTATGTGAGTTTGAATGGTTGAATAAAAACACCATGATGAAAAACACTTTTTATTTCTCATGTTTAATCAAATATATTAAACATTCACTAAATACATGGGAAATGGGGCTGAGCAGGGTTTTACCTCACGTTTGACACCTGAGAAATAGAAAGAATCTGAAGATTTAAGGTTCTTATGGTGGCCCATATTTCTTTTGTGCTTTTTGGGCCATATTTAGCATTTACCACATTCACATCTAGATGACACCTTGTCTAGAACACCAATGTTTGCTTAAAAAACGCAGACATCTGGATATTTGAGCCACATTTTCAATTTAACAAATGCGCCACTTTAGGCTCAGATCCTTTTTGTTCGGGCCCAAGAAGACCAGAAGTGCTGCATCATTGCCAGAAGTGGCTCACATCTGGATGCTATGGGTAAGATAAAAGTACAAAGCTATGTGTGTGTGTTGTTTCTCCCTGGTTGTATTTATATTCTTATAGTTTCACTTTTTATTCAATTGCTGCTCATTATGACAGATGTTGTATCTCAATAGGACTTTCTTAGTTGAATAAGGAGAAAATAAAACATATTAAAAATGTGATCATCTATAATCTTCAATTTGCAAAAAAATAAATAAATCACAGTGTAGATGATGATGATGTGTTGAGGTCTTTGTCTCCCTCTCTCCACCCCTCTCTCTCTCTCTCTCTCACACATACAGCCTCCTCCCCCTCTGAACAGTCGAGTTGACCATCTCTGGATCATCCCGACCGGAGTCACACCGCGGATCAGTGCGCGCAGCCAGGCGGCCCTACAGCGCACGGACCCGGGCTGAAAGGACGAAGTGGTGGTGGAGCATCTGGGACCACGCAGCATTTCGGATTAGCCGCATCAGCTATGAACATCATCCGCGGGGTTTGGCAGAAATAAACCGGAGCTCTCACACCACCACACCGTCGAAGATGAGCGGGACTGCGACGGCCACAGCGGCGGCTTCCTGCCGCTTCGCCCACTACTTTGTTGTGTGTGGAGTGGACGCGGACACGGGCCTGGAGCCGGACGATGGAGCAGGTAGATGGTCCACAAATACACGAGAGAAACACATCCACACTGCAGAAATCCAACATGTGTGTCATGTTTCTCCTTTAACTCCTGATAAAGGCCGGTTTGTGTCATTTAAATGTGTTTTGATTGGACGCCACATCTTTTTTTTCCCTTTCACAGGGTTGTTGACAACGTATTATCTGCAAGTAGCCTGTGTAGAATTGACCAATAGCAATTTATTTTATATTTTAATCTCATATATCTATTCCCATTCGAATGTGCTGATGTGATTTCTGTTAGGGTTTGTGTATTTTTTTAGGAATAACTCACACAGGGCTGGTAGGGCTACAGTCTATATTTTTTGGTTATGGAATAGAAAAACCACTATTTAAAACAAACATCCAGTAGAATAATCCTTTTCTTATGAAATTGAATTTGAAATGATTGTTATGCTGTGTTACCCTACAGTCGTCTTCCTTTGTGTCTCTGCTTGTGTGTAAAAACACATTCCACGTCTGTCCCCTGTGTTTTCATCATGTAAATCGAATCATTTCAGAATATACGGTATATAGCTTCCCTGGTTTCTGCAAGTCATCCGCCGCTACAGCTGCATGAGGAGGATATAGCAGAGAAAGGGATGAACAGAGAGTGGACAACAACATCATCCTCTCTGCCTGATAAAGCTGGAGTGGACGGGTTCATGCAGTTCTTCATGGATGACACGGGGTTGTGTGTGGATGCGTCCTGATTACACGCTGCTCTGTGTGTGTGAATAAGCGCTGATTGTCTCTGTGTGTACGGCCCTCGCAATTCTCCTGGTCAAGATGTTTAAAGGAAACAGGACTGCTGATGAATTTGGGGGTTGCTATGGCGATGGCAGCTGCAGTGATGCTGCCTTGTGATGGTCTATTTGTGGTGGAGAGAAATAACGCTGTTAGAAATAGAGACATCAGGTGGTGCTTCTGCCTTCTGAGTCTTCTGACACTCTGGTGTGGGGACAGTCACAGAGGAGACATCTGTGATGCCTGCATGTGTCCTGCTCTCTGTGTGTGAGGAAATAGAACCGTGCAGGTGTGATGAATACCAACACCCTGAACGTCACTTCCAGGTTTGAGCTGTGAAGCACAAACAATAGTCCCACCCTGTATTCTCCTTGTCGTCTTTGTAGCAGCAAAAGAGCATCTCCTCGGAGGGGAAAAGATGGTAACCAGACGTGCTCGTTTTTTTTTTTACTCTTTCAGCCAAATGGGTGTTGGGTAACAGCAAAAATTAGTCAGAGCAAGAAAATGTCAAATGTAGGATGAGCTCTGTTGGATCACACTGCTGCAGATTAGTTAGTGCTCTAACTAACCAGCGAGGACTTTGATAGCTGGCTCCCTGCAGCAAGTGACAGCACTGCTGGCTATTGTATATCTGAGCTCTGCCAATCTGCTTATGTAACAGCAGGTCATCTAAGACCCGCTGCAGCAGGAGGCCGTGCTGCTTTCAAGTGATCACTGTCCGTCTGTGAATGTGTCGGCCTTTGCATGAGCATAAGGTGTTCGATAAGCTGCAGTCAAGCGAGAGGTGTTAATTTTTTCATGGACATGAGCCTGAAAGCACGCACAAATGTTTCTGTTAGGTCATATCTTATGTGTGTGTGTGTGTGTGTAGTATAATTAGTGCACGCCTTCATGGACACAATCTGCTCTTGTTGGCTTCTCAATAGATGCCACTGTGTTTTCTGCAGTCAAATCAAATTTCACTTGACGTTGCCTGTTAGAATGCTGAATGGCCGAGGCTTCAGCTTCCGTTCAGGCCACATGACTGTCACAGAGGGATGACATCAGCGCAGGCCGAGAAACTCACCGACCGAACATACAAGACCTGATTTATGATGTTCAACTGTTTTTACTGAGAGATACAGTATTCTCATAAATACTCGTGCTGACGTATTTTAGCTTGAAGCCATCAGTACATTCTTTTATCCTTTTGTTAGCAGATGAGCCCAAAAGTGTCTCAGGATCAGATGAAAATCAAAATTTGTCATTTTGTTAATCGCATGATTCACCTGAGACGGACACATCTATAACTTAAAGACTGTGATTAAAACAGTTTGAGTCTAAAAGGAATAACTTGATGTCATTTTGATGTGCTTCTTACATCCGTCCTCATCCTCTCATGTAATGATGTGATGAGTGGGACGGTGAGAGTAATCCTGATGGTGAGTATGACAGATGTTCAATCCTCCCTGATGACGTGCCTCTGTTTTTGCGATGTACGACCATTTGGGGCAGTGAATCTTTGTGATGAATGTCTAAGTGGTGGGATGAATATAAAACACTTTGTCGTGCTCCACAAACACAATATTATATGTTCTGGTGATAACAGGACAATGATGCTATAGAGAGAGAAGAGTCAGTGGAATTTTAAGTAATGAAGATTAGAGCAGAAACAATCAGTTCATCAACTGTTTAAAAAATACATTTCAATTGTTTAATTCACTTTTTAAAACAGATTTTACAAACTGACTAAACCAATATGGATTTTTAGGGGCTGATGCCAATTACGATAGCAGAGAGTAAAACATTTCAGATACCAATATATATTTGTTAAAACCCTTTTGACAATTTTTTTTTACTGAGGTTCGATATTTTACAGTTTAAATCTAAACTTTATAAGTAACTATAAATAAATAAAAACATAAAAACAACCACATATATTGAACTTGAATTAAGAACATAATATATTTTCTACATTGCGTAAAATAAAAGTGTGTGTGTAAGCAGAGTAGAAGGAGGAAGCATGCTCATTACAGTGTAAATGAAACAGCCATTTAAGGCGTCATTCAAACACAAACAAACCTCCCTTCACTCGCGTCTCCCTCACAGAAAAAGAGAGAGAGAGAGAGAGAGGATGCTTTTCACTGTGCTCTGCTCTGGTGGGAGCTCGTGTCAGGAGGAGTGTGGGTTTTAACTGGATCAGCTGATGGAACTCAGGCTGACGTATACCAGCTGACGCGCTGGATCTTCGAGGCTGCAATGGATGTGGCTGCCATGGCAACTAGGTGTCCCTGTGCAAAGCTCGATTCTGCCTCTCAGTGCTGACACCAGTTTGTATCCTCAGCAAAGAACATTGACTCCCCCTCTTTCCGCCGTGATCCACTCGCTTCAGTCTCCCACCTACCAGTCTGACACGCTTTAACTTGAAGTGGTGCTCCCTCCTCACTCCGCCTCCAGCGCAGCTTCCGCTCGCCGGCTCCTGTGCGTCATCTCGTCTGTTAATCGGCTTCTTGCGGTAGTTTTTTTCTTGTGATGATGTCAGTCAAAGCTGAACATTACTGCTGAGAACTCACTGAGGACACTTGAAATGGGGGAACACAGCGAAGAGTGGCGTTCAAGGGCATCCTCTCAGAAAGTGGATGAATAATGAAAGCGCCTCCTTCACTTCTGTCAGTCGATTACACACACACACACACACACACACACACA